GTTTGTGAAGAAGCATGTTTCTTGAAAATGATAATAAAATCCAGAGAAGTGATGGATAATTTATATAACTTTTAAAGATTGCCAGGGGAAGTTCCTTGCTTTCTTTAAAATAGAATTAGAGTTCATTAGTGTTCGAACGTTCGTAAGAATTCAGACATTGGGAAAGGCGTTTAACATGTGGTTGCAAGACTCCAAAGCAATTGTCATCGCAATTGACAGCGTATAGACAGAAATCTTGCTTTAAGAGACAGGAGTTCTGTTTTATAAATGGAGATTTAAAATTGTCTAAAAGCTCTTGTATTCCTGTCAGGTGGTACATAAGTTTTATCACGACAGGGTTGGCCCCCAATTCAGATCCGCAGATCCTGTGATACGTGCGCATAAGTCTGTCCATGAGCTTTATATCAAGGGATTGGCTAGTAATCCAGCTTTTCTTTTGCTTGACCACTGAAATCGTCAGCCGCAGACTCACCCCTGACTTTCAGAGGCGGAACGTTTGTCTGCCTGCAGGGTGCGCATGTACAAGAGGGCGGAACTACCCTCGTTGTCGGCGAATTACAAATCCTTTTGCTAGTATCGTCGGTAGTAATGGAACACGTGAGAAGGATGTGAAGAGGAGTCCGAAGTCAGGACGAAAGTAGTTTAGCTGCATAGAATACAGACGTTGCTTCGTGTGCACTTTTAGCAGTGAACGCGAAAGAAAGCTTCGTATAATGTTATGACGAACTCCTCTCAAACAAAATCCTGACTGTTGTCTTTTATTGAACATTGAACGATAGATTGTAGTATGACGAAGGAATTGATCAGGAGAAATGATTTGACTGTGTTCAAAAGTGGTGACTGTAGTTTTATCAGTGCCTCGGTGTTTTAAATGAAAATTGTCGAAGGAATGAGCTCCCACGTGCATGCAAGAACAATTTATGGAGGAAATACAATGCCAGCTGCGTTTTCTGCGCTGCATCTGTTGAGGAATTACAATCTGTTCGCTCCTACTCCAGGTATTCAGATTTTGTACCAAACAAGCTTTCCTGGTTTGAGACCAAATTATCATCCCTCTAACGACTGGACCAAATTATAAAATAAATCAAATTAATCTTAAATGAATTAAAACAGTCTACTGCCTAATATTATATTTATAAATAAATAGATTATTCATTATCCATAAATAGAATTAGTGTCGGATCAAAAGAAGTAGAAGGCCGGGGTTTGCACTATAAATTCCATCAATTAAAATATCTTGCAGTATTTAATACCATTACTGCTTATAAATTTTCATGTATACTTTTTTCAAACCACTTTCTCCCCACTCACAATCGCACGTTCGATGTAAGTTATAAAAGCATGTAGTAATGGTCAATGTAACGGATAAATGAGCAAGTTGGTCGCGACGAAGTTCGAGTTTTGCCGTTTTCAACCTTGTTAACAACTCCTCTGTTAGCCGTGATCGTCTAGTGGTTAGGACCCTACGTTGTGGCCGTAGTAACCCAGGTTCGAATCCTGGTCACGGCAATGTGCCAATGACACATTGTCACGGTAGAGGTTTATTTTTTTATATTTTCTTTTACTTTTTATTGCATTGCTAATGTTGAATTAATTATAACAAATCGTTACGTCTATAAATGTAAGTGCAGGAAATGTAAAATATACAAATCACGTTAAGGAGGATTTTGTGGAAACATGTGACGCGACGTTACTTATTTAAGGTATTAATCGATCGATCGTACACACGAGTTCAGCTAGCATTTGAACTATTATTATTAATTATATGAATAAGTTAAATCGTTTTTTCTTTTTTTACAATAGATCCTTTATATACCGACTTTGTTAAAACTCGTTTTATTATTATTTGTTACTTAATGGATGAAACCTGGAGATGATTGATTGTTCTTTATGGGATGAAAAATAAAAAATATTGATTTTTTTTACCCCTGGTGGGACTCGAACCCACAATCCCCGGTTTAGGAGACCGATGCCTTATCCATTAGGCCACAGGGGCTCGTGATAGATCGCATCTTAAAAATAAATCCAATTCTGTCCATTATATACACCCTAATAACTAATTAATTATTACAAAAACAATAATTGTACGAACGAATTAGAATTTACAACTCAAATTAGATCAATTTGAACCAGTTTGTCGTGTAAAAGTACACATTCAAAGATGTGCACCTATTACAATGTTCATGGGAAAAAATGCCTACTTAGAATGCATTTTTTAAACTAATATCATGTACGTTTCATTTTGCATAAAAATCCGTAGAGTACTGATAATAATTTTTCAGATTTACGCAGACCCGAGCCATATACTCCTAAGGAGTACAATTTCGGGACTACAGATATTGTGGAAAGTTCAAATACTCCTGATATATCAATTGGTCGAGTACCATCACCGCTACCACTTTCGTCCCTGTCGACTGCATTTTCGCTCTCTGGATCTTTGATCCAGCCACCGCTCATAGCTACAGTGCCATCCTTGATGCAATCTATAAACATGCCATCAGCATTTTCTAATGATAATACAAGTAAGTTCCCCTATTAAACATTTTATGGTACCCTCAAACGTGGACCTCTCATGTCTGACTTTTTAATGGAATATTTAAAAGAAACTGGGAAGATTCATATAGTACTTTCAAAGACACTAAATGAGAATTAACACAATGATTTTGATAAGCAATTACTTAAATTGATTAAAATTATGTTATAACAATATAAAGCAAATTGTACGTTTGAAATGCTTCGGACATAAATGCGACTTCATTTACAGTTTAAGGATTAATGTATAAGTTTGTATACTACATACAAGATAGCCAGTTTAACATTTTTCATTCATTTCATTATAAATCATGAGAAAGTATATGTAACTTTGATAAAAGGAAAGGATAAATTCATTGAATTTGTGTATATACGTAGATAGAGTGGTGAGTCGTCATTTTCTTGGCACGAACGGGATTGCAAATATGCACAGACGTCCCAGAAGTGAGAAGAAACCAATTCCAGATGAGCAAAAGGATGAGAAATATTATGAGAGACGCAAACGCAATAATCAAGCTGCAAAGAAATCTCGCGATGCTCGTAAAATCCGAGAAGATCACGTAAGTTCTTGACCAAACCTACTATAGATCTTCATTTAAATTCCCTAATTGTACTTACGCAGAATGGCCCACCTAAATGCAGTCATCTAAATATCTCCTTCATTTGATAGGAAAAATATTTTTTATGCATTTATGTGGACCACGCTATATGTATAGTATGTAATTGTGTGCTATATGTGACTCTCTATTAATAGTTATGATCTAATGAATGATAATCGAGGTTTTATATTAGATTGCGTTACGAGCTACGATGCTGGAACACGAAAATGCAATTCTAAGGGCACAAGTGATAACACTTCGAGAGGAAGCGCAATGCTTGCGACACATGCTGATCAAACAGCAAACACCAGCTTTACAATCTATCGATCGTTCGATCTCCTCGATGACACCTGTTACGTTATCACCCACTCATTCGACAACTTTGGACTGTCAGATTTGAGCAGAGTTGCAGATAAATGATTAAATCTTTAATTGTTAATGAGGCAATTAAAAAATCTGCATCCCTGGATTTGAGACACGTTGTCGATAAACGATCGAGATAAGTATACATAGAAATTGTCACAATGAAATCATACATATCGTACTCTCACGAAGTGATATTTTGCTCAGTCTGTTGTGTTAAGGATCTATAAATTTTATACAATTTACGTCTAGACACTCAGAGTATTAAGAAAGGCACAGGTATCAAAATTCTATTCGTTGTTACACCACACAATTAATGTTTTAATTGAACAGTGATTATTAGACTGCGAATTTTTATGCAAAATAAAACTTTGATTATTTAAATATCATGCTATGCATTTTGCTGTTCATATTGTGAAAAACAAGGATCTTAAAAATATTTGTAGATTATATGTTTATTAATTTTTGTATCTAATGTGTATGATAGACGGTTCAGTCTATAATTTAAAAGGAATTAAACAAGTTGTTTCTTGTAGGAGTAAGAAAATGAAGATAGAATCTTGTAAGTTGATTTCGGTTGTGTGAGTGGTTGGAAGGAGTGTAATAGTGTATTAAGTAGCAGATATGAGCCATCAGCAATACAAAAATAGTGATATACATATATTATCAAAGAAAGAGAAATATATATTTATTTATTTTGTTCTCGTATTTTGTTTGTTTTAATTTATTTTATCTACTGTGTAAACGAGATAAGTGGGATGAATTGGATGCTTGTTTAATTCGTATAGAGAGAATTGTAAGCTTATTGTTAGTGGGTGATTAGGAATGTGGTGGAGCATTGATATATGAAGGTA